CCTCACTACTCTTACTCTTTTTCAGGTTCTCCTACCTGGAAAGCAATTGGGAAAGGTCATAGCTTATTTTGTAAAGGCATCAAATGGATCCCCAGGGATGGTAAAAACATTAGTTTTTGGAAGGACTACTGGGTCGGTAACTCCCCCTTGTTTTCCATCCTTTTTGGTCCTCATCAAAGTAATTATTCTTCAATCACTGTTGCTGATTATTTTCATGCAGGACCTGATGGTCCTAAGCTTATTGGATATCAGCTACCCGAAGAAATTACTATATCTATTACCTCTATACCTCTCTCAATTTATCAAAGTAGAGATGATACTTTTGCTTGGAAAGATTCCTCTAATGGGAAATTTTCTGCATCATCAGCTTATGCTATATGTAAAAATATTCCTCATGAAGCTATTAAGAAATACAATTGGATTTGGAGATCACCCACGATCCCAAAGATCCAATATTTTCTCTGGCTTCTATCCCACCAAAGGCTTAAATGCTTTGATCTGCTTTTTAAATTGGGGATCAATACCACAGCCATGTGCCCCCGTTGCCAACATCAACATGAAACTGTTGAGCACATCTTGCGTTCTTGCCCTTTATCTCAAGCTATTCTCTCTAACTTGCTACCTGATATATTCTCCCCACAACAACAAATGCTTAACTTTGTGGATTGGTTGCAGTTTAATATCAAATGTTCGATGCAAACGAACATATTGAATCTCCCTTGGAATATTATCTTTTGTTTTGCTCTATGGGGAATATGGCTGCACAGAAATCAGCAAATTTATAAGGATAAGCCGTACCCTATTTTAACTGCTCAGCAAATGATTAAAGACAGAGCTGCTGAGTATTGGAGCACTATACCTCCATCCACTGTTAAAGTGCATGGTATAACACTTTTTAGATGGTCTAAACCTCCCCACCCCTTTCTTAAGCTAAACACGAATGGGTCTGCAATAGGGAATCCTGGGCAGACTTATGCTGGTGGTTTATTTAGGGACAAATGGGGAAATTGGGTTATGGGTTATACTAGAAAGATTGGATGGTAGTCTATTTTGGTGGCTGAGTTATGGGCAATTAGGGATGGTCTCAAACTTGCTATTGATAGAAATATATCTCATTTAATTGTGGAGTTTGATTCTACTACTGCAATTTCTTTATTATCTGAAGACCCCTCGGAGTCTCATCCCCTCAGTACTCTTATTCTTGACTGCAGGGACATGCTGCAACAAATACCTCATATTAAGGTTGCCCATGTGGTACGGGAAGCAAACATGGCAGCGGATGCCATGGCGAAAGTGGGACACAACATTTTGGAAGATTTTGTTATTTTTGATTGTATCCCTTATTCGGTCAAATATGCTTGTATGGCTGATATTTTGCGAATTGAATTTCCCAGAACCACTTGATGTACTCATGTTTGTTATGTTATAATATTTCTCCTTTTTACCAAAAAAAAAAAAACTCCATGAAATTCTCGAATAAGGTCTTACTTGTAAAATAATTAACTTCCGTTAAATCTCTTACGAACATTATTAATGTCTGTCACACTTTACCCAATTAGAATGTAACTAAAAAAAAAATTATGTTCATATGTTAATTACTTTTGCCACGTGGATGATACATGGATATGAATTTTTAACTCCACGAATAATTGAAACGCACTCGTGGGCCTTTTGGTCTTTCTGACCAGGATTCCCACGAATTAAGGATAAAATCCCTGATTTTAACATGCTCCTTTCTTTGTTCTCGAAACCGCAAGCAGATCTAGAAAATTTCTCATCCTTCATTCTTGAAAACGCAAACCAATTCTGCTTATTAGGAGAGGTTTCGAGAGAAATTTATCCCTCGTACCAATTCTGCTTATGATACTGAGTTGGAGGCAAGGCAGGCGAAGCTCGGTGACCTGTTGTCCGTACATGCAA